AGTCCAGGGGACTCTTAAGAGTCTTCTCCAGCACCACAGTTCAAAGGCATCAATTCTTCAAAGGCGCTCAGCCTTCTTTATGGTCCAGCTCTCACAGCCATACATTACTGCTGGGAAAACCATAGCTTTGATTATGCGGATCTTTGTCAGCAAGGTGACATATTATATATCAGGTCACAAATACTCCTGTGAGTATCACCTTGCATTTCAGGTCAGCTTACATACAGGATCCATATGTTTCTGAACATGTATGTTTCAGGTAAGTATTACATCTTTCAGAACTGACTTTACAAGTGTGAGGTGACTTCAGCATTTTTACTTCTCAAAAAAGTCTTAACAGCAGTTTCAACATAATTTCACCATAAACAGAATGAAATGCAAACAACTTAAAAAGCTGCCACCCTTTTATCCAGCTCTCTTTCTTCAACAGACCTCTACAGGATAACAGTTATGGAAACCAATGAATAAGGCCCACCTCAAAAGTGGTATAATACCATAAACAAATTGGTATCTAGCATAGCATCCAGATTCTGCCAAAGTACCACTTCTTCTAAATCATCTGCACCAAAGGGCATTGCAAGGGTAGCATTCTAATTGTATAGTTCAAGAAAATAGTTTTTTGCCAACCAATGGCAGTTTCCTGACAGACTGCACAAAATCTGTGCAGGGATCCACCCACATAGGAGAACTGTCCCTGCTTCATATTGCAGTAGTTATCTTCAGAAAATGTCTCTTAATGTTCAGTTAGTCAGAAAAGGTGCAACCAGACTTCTCCTGGTTTGGGGTATCAGAGACTAACACAGCTCTTCTTCTACAAGTTTTTTCACTATCACCATAAAAGCTAAGTGGTCTTCTTTTTAAAATAAGAAATGAGGTTCCAATATTAAAATTTTATATGCATGTCTAATGAGAAGGTCATTGAGTTTGATGGGACTTACCCCTAAGAAAGTTGTATGATTGCACCCTAAGCAGGCCAACTCCTGACATTCCCACATAGCATTGTTAACACAGTGAACACGTGTGTTTTGTTTCACTTCAAAGAGCAGAGATGAGGGGCCAGGCGGCAATTAAGCGTGCATCTTATTTCAAATGTTAAAGGGGTGTTTTTTGTCTACCTTCACAAAAAGTCACAAAACTGTGGCTCCTGACTTAGGATGCTGCCTTTTCCCAAATGAGTAAGAATGGCAAGCAAGGATATGCAAGTGCCTGATGGATTTTCAGCATTCTTTTACATTTATTGGAGGAGAGAAAGGAACCTGGGACTTTTCATTCATGGGTTAGGAATATATTCATTTCTGAATTCTTTTGTTTGCAACTGTATAAATGACTAGGAACTGTGTGATGAGTAATTTCCTTCCTGGTGCAATGCACACCCTAATTTGGTTGTGTTCTGTGTGTGTGTGCGCGCGCGCATGTGTACCTTTGAGTCAGTGTTGACTCCCCTGGACGAGTCCCTGCAGTTTTCTTGGCAAGATTTCAGAAGTGATTTGCCACTGTCTCCTTCCTAGGGCTGAAAGAGAGTGACTGCCCCAAGGGCACCCAGTTGGCTTCATGCCCAAGGCAGGACTAGAACTCCTGGGCTCCAGCCTAATGCCTTAACCACTACACAGAACTGTCTCTCTAATTTGGTCATAGGGCCTCTGTATCGAGCTAATGAAACCTTTCAACAAGTTGAGGGTTTTCTCTGCCCTTCCTATCTTTACATTCCCTTCCACAAGATTGATAAAACAGCTTTCACCGGCCAGCCAGGAACTCCCATGCGCCCCTCGGGCTCCCTGCATCCAGAGAGAGCGAAAGGCCGGCAGAGCAGGCAGGCACGCGAAACGAGCCGCGGGTGGGAAATGCAACGAGAAGGCTTAAGCTGGATACTTGCAGCGGAGGAAGGAGGGGAGGCGGAGAAGTGTGAACTGTTGGCATACAGACTAATGACAGGGGCTAAGAAAGAGAAGGGGCGCAGGCACAGCCGCCGTGCAAGCAATGGGATAATACCCCGAGCCCCAAGCAAGCTTGCTTCTCCGGAAGCAAGTCCCCTCGTCTCCGTGGGACTCCCATCCCAGCTGTAAGCAACGCACGTCTAGGACTGCAGCCCGCGCGCTGGCATTTGCGCAAAGCGGAATATCAGCGGCGCCGCCGGTTGCTACTGGTTCTTGCGCCTGCCTGGGACAAGCCCTTCGCGCACCAGCAATCGCCGGCCTCTGCCCAGGTGGGCTTTCCGAGAAGCATTCTCGGACCGTGAAGGTGGATCCCCTGCCGTGCCCTTTCCATCCGCGTGGAGGGTCACATGGCGCCGGCGCCGGACTGCCGCCACCTCGCCTTGCCTCCGCCTGACAAAGAGCCACGCTCAGCCCCCGGCTCGGGAGCAAGAGCTCCCCGCAGACCACCGCACCGGGGCACCTCGCGATCTCGCCCTGCCCTTCGCCCACCCGCCCCTTGGCCTCGTGACCGTGGGTGCCGGCTCCAGATCACCTCAATCGGCTTACCCCTCTGCGGGATCCCTCGGGAGGAGGAAGAGAAGGAGCTGCGTTCAGAGCAAAGTGCCGGAGGAAGTGTGGCTCTGAGGGAGCGTCAGGAGGAGGAAAGCTGCGGCCGAACCCCCCACGAGACTGAAAGTGAGCGGAAGAAGAGGTGCCGCCCACACGCCTGTAGCAAACGCTTCTGGGGAGGGCGAGGGGCTAAGAACGAGGCTGGCTGAACAGAAGGCAACTGGGAGTAAGCTTCGCTTGCGGGTTGGGGTGGGAAAGCGCCAATACTCCTGCCTTGGATATGGGCTAGGTCACACCTGCGTGCTCATTACCTGATGCAGCAGCATTAAGTGGCTTACTTACACGTGTCCATCAACTTCCCATAGATCAGAAAGCAGTGGCAGAATGTTGATACCAGCTGGCTATAATATTTTTTAAACAGCCTTTTCAATCACCCACCTACCTGGAGTCATTAAATCAGTGTTGTCCAAACTTGGCCACTTTAAGATGAGTGGACTTCAACTCCCAGAATTCCCCAGCCA